AAAAACAACAAAGTCACACTGCTTCAGGCAACACACTGCCATTCCAGTCTGCACTTGGAAGTAGTGAATGTGGTTCTTGCGAATATATGGAAAACCGGCTTCATTAATTGCCCCACCAACAGTATCCAACGAAAATGCAGATTTAGGATCCATATCTCTACCTGTGTAAGGACACTTAAATTCAACAAGTGTATCTTCACAACAATGGCACTCTCTTATTCCATCTGGACTTGCTCCTACCCATCCATGATCAGGGCTTAGAACCAAGCCAGTTTCACTGAATCCAAACTTAATGTGTTGTTTTTTCATAATCCTACAATAGGATGTTTTTACTTGATCCTCCATCTCTGTGCCATACTTAATAGCCACTGGACATTTATTATTTTCAAATGGTCTTGAAGGAGTTAAAAAATTTTGAACAGTTTTACTCACATCTTCATTAGGATTTTTTCTACTGTCTTTTGTCTTGTAAAAAGTCCTTTCATTTTTTTGCCAGTAACCAACAAGTGCCGAAATTCATGCCAGCATTGAGTGGTGTGTTGGCCAGATGTAATATTGTTGATAACATCTCTTTCAGATGCTGTAGTGGACAGTTGGTCAACAAATTCTAAAGATTGTTGCATGGTATTTTCATTACTAAGAAAGTTATTTTTCACAAATAATCAGGCCCTTGATAAGATTGTTAAATGTGAGAAATCTTCTATCTGTTCTGAGCATGCATGTTGTTCCTCTTTTGAATCTTCAGGCTCATCATCTGGATATAGAAAGTCAAGTATACCAGAATGTTCATCAATGTCCTGTAGCTTTTTTGCAAATGACATTTTGTCTTCAGGTGAAATATCCTTTCTTTGCTTTGTGGGTCTTGGATCAAAAGAGTCAATCCAAGAATCATCATAATTTGTTATCTTTCTTTTGCTGTTCAGACCTTCAGAATGGAAAAGTTTCATTTCCAAATAAGGAATCGGTTTTGTTTCAGGTTTTGGTTTAGGATTCCAATATGCTGGGAGAGATGTCACAGAACATCTTTCACTTGACAGAAATTCATCTAACTCAAACAATGCAGCTCCAAGATGCCTGCAGCCTTGGTCTGCTCCACCTTTACATCGACAGAATGCTGAATAAACTGATCCATCAGGTTGTAAAATAAACCATAGTTTGTATGCTTTATCACCTTCTTGTGTCAATTCCTTTTGAATAGGGATTACATGAGCTACAATTACATGGAACTTTCTATCATCATTATCAAAAAAATTTGGTTTGAAGGAATCTTACATGTCCTGCTTGGCAAAGAATATACTCATCAAAACTTCTCCACGAAGAAAGCTGTTCCTTGTCATAATTTGCCTTACTCATTATCAAATGATTGAAAATATCCATTAATCCAAAATTAGGAAGTGATGAAAAGTCAGATGACATATTCTTCATACAAAAATGATCAGGAACCTTCTTACCAGCAGGCAGAGTAAGCCGTTCATTTAAACAACATTCTATTGAATCCTTTTCAAAATCAGGGTCAGTCATTGCACCCATTTCATGTAGAGACTTGGCTAACATAATCAGGTCATTTTTCTTGTATTTAGGAACTGGAACACCCCTTTCTCCTATATATGTTTTTAACTCTTCTACCTTCATGCTTTCAAAAAATTGTTCTGTATTCTCAGTATTGTTTTCATTAATGTCAAGAGGTGACTGATGATCTTCAAGTTTCGTTTGGTTGCTGCTCTTAGCATTTGATTTTAATTGTTCAGAGAGAGTTGGATTTTTGGAACTTTTTTTACTGACATCACAATTAATCAAATTTAGTGGTTTCATTGTTTTTTTCTCACTGTTAATGTTTTTAGGTTTTAACGGTTTTTGGAGGGTGGGTTTCTTCAATTTTTTGTCATCAGTGCCACTATATGAAGGTTTTGGTGGTTTTGAAAGTCTCGGTTTCTTTGATTTTCTCTTCTTGTCAAGATCTATTGATTTTGATGGTTTTGGCTTGGTTGATGTTTTCAATTTTATCTCATTGGCATAAAACGTTTTGGACTGTTGTGGTAGTTTGGGGATTGTGGGTTTCCTCGACTTCTTATCCATATTCATGGTATTAGATTTTTTCACAGTTGATTGCACTGATGAAGTTTTATCTTCCACAGGATTTGAAACCAAAACTGTAGGTTTATTCACATGGGACGATATCAACCAAAGGGTCAACCAAATCAATGAATACACTTTTTTTACTATTTTCTGGCGTGGGAGCAGAGCAACAGTCTCCATCAGTTTCTAACAGATTGAAGTGACTCCACTGAGGGAAAAAATCATGCAACACGAATGTAATAGGACAATCACAGGAACGCTTGACGGTCATCCGAGGCGCAATCTTGAGATAAGGGTCAAATTTTACCCATTTTTCTTTTGCCATTGAATACACAACAATAGTGTGTTGAAGTACAGTGGCGCAACTAAAAATGTCGGCCGTTTCGGCCCATGTACCGTCCTTACGACTACATTTAAGATGTTCCTCTACTGTTGTATGAGTAAAAAGCAAAGGAAGAAAAACTTGGGGGAAGTCTTCTATCACGGCGTTGCAAAGCGATCTCACCTTCGAATAATTTTGATCCGTTTTGCCGTTTAACGCTCGTGCTACAGCTCTGTAGAAGCAGTTGCCATCACCTTGAACTCTAACTTCTCTTCTACCAATAGGAATTAGAGCCATATCATAAATATTTAAACACTTTTTTTAAAAACAAAGAAATATGCATATATTTATAGTTCTTTTTTAAATTGTTTGCCCCCCAGCGATACCACAATGCATTGCAACAATGCGAAAAACCGCGCGCGGACTGGCAACCAGCAACATACCCATTTAAGTGGATATCTCTCCAACTATGAAGAAAATCTAATATAAATGTTATAATGGGGTCACTACAATTAAGTGTGTATCTCCCCAACTATATATAAAGAGGATATAATATGAATTTTATAATAGGGTCATCACAATTAAGTGCAGGGTATCTCCCCAACTTTAAAGAGAATATAATATGAAATTTATAATGGGGTCACCACAATTAAGTGGGTATCTCCCCAACTATAAAGAGAATATAATATGAATTTTATAATGGGGTCAGCACAATTAAGTGGGTACCTCCCCAACTGTAAAGAGAATATAATATGAATTGTATAATGGGAAAACCCAAAATTAAGTGGGTATCTCCCCAACTATGAAGAGAATATAATATTGATTTTATAATGGGGTCACCACAATTAAGTGGGTATCTCCCAAACTACAAAGAGAATATAAGCATTGGAATGTCACATAGAAGTCCATACCTTTCCTTGAGAAGGTCGGTTTTATCTGATGGTACTTTTCCTCCCCAATTTCTGAACAGCTTGGGATTGACAAGATCAAGGAATCTGGTTCGTCAGAACTTCAGTCCACAGAAGCTGGATTTATGTATCGTATATAGATATTTTATTCGATCTAAATAGGTAAATACAATGTAAATTACTAAATTAGTTATAATATATGCATGCAAATCAAAATAGGCTGATAACCGTAGATATTGATGTACTCACTTCTGTTCACAAATCCAACTTTACAATAATACTTTTAACCGGTTAGCGTAAACTGATAAACAGTCCCTAGTTAGGACAAATACCGACAACTACCGATATAGAACTAAATGTTCCTACTAGCACTAGCCGCACATTCTTAAAAACATGTGCTGTGGTTTTATTACGTCATACTTGACAGCGTAAACGTAAAGTTTAAATAAACCCTTAAACGTCATTCATCGCGTTAGCATAATGTCTTGCTATTCAACAAAACAGAATTCCAAGCTTTGAATATCTTTAAATCTTTTACTTAACATCCCTAGAATTGTGTCTATAACTTGGAAATACAATTGCTTGTAATTAACATTTAGATAAATTTTACACACGTCTAGAAAGGCGCAAGTCGGAACAGATCTGCAACAAATCTGTTAAATTCTGTTGTCAACAAGCCGATATATGGATACGTTCGCTCGCCTTGTACCTGTCTGTTGTGACAGGTCCGCAACGGCGTGTCAACGGGTCTGTTAGAAACTGTTGTGACAGAGCTGTTGCAATGCTGTTTTCAACAACTTGTGACAGACCTGTTGCAAACCGAGGTAAGCGTTTATGAAGCTTGTGTATCCACTATTTTGAACAAAAGAACGGCCAAACAGGTTGCCATATTTCGGTTGAAGTGTCTCGTGAAATAGCCAGACTTTCATATGAACACTTATAAGCAAACTTGCGAGATAATATTGAGCAAAACAGTCGAAAAAATACGACAAATTAAAGAAAGGTTCTTATCGTAAAAAATTTTCAAAATTAATTGGTCTTTAAGTACAATCGAACTGTGACAACCTACTTGCATATTTTTCTTCAAAATAGTACATACAATAACACAAAGCTTCAATAAGGGTCTTCGTCGCTCGCAGATTTCACTTGAAATTGGAAAGAAATTATATAACGAATTTCATATTCATATCAACAATGAAGAACGTTAGAGTGAACACTCGGTGGCTCGTGTATTTTTCAATACTTAACTCTAGATCATATATTCTCATTGCCACAGTTTCGTCAATAATCAAAACAGCTTTGAAATTGTTCGATTTTGTTTGAGGCAGTTGTTGAAATTTTGTTTGGCTCAAAATTCAAAAACAACTAAACATGATTAGTGATTGATATGTTTGTAATCATTTCGTCCAATTGCAACGAGGATAGATGCCGTGTGAACACGCTTTTATCCAATCAGATTAAAGAAATATAGGGATAGCACAGGTCAGTAAATTGGAATTTGGATTTTGGAAATCGGAATTAACTATTTTGAAAGAATAAAACAGCGGCTTTTGCATTTAATCAGAGAATGGATACTATAGACTATATTTAGTCCTTCCTATGTGATTTAATATTGCCACCAATGACAATGATTAAATGAGAAAGTGAAGCCGGAAGTATCCATTTCGTGCGATTTATCTCTTTACTCACATTTTCGATTTGTTTCCCAACAACCGGCTTGTTGAAACTTGTTGTGACCGAACAGAAATTGTTTGTTGTGGACTGGTTAACGTTTGTCGCAGGGCTGATAACAAACTTGCTGCAAACTTGACAAAAACAACCGCCACTGGTCTGTTTGAACAACCACAGATTTGCTGCAAGTTGTTCTATTAGACTTGTTATCTCTTGTTAGTAAAAGGTTTGTAGCGGATTGTTTCAACAAGTCGCTACAGCTCTGTTGTCAACAGTTTGCAACAGACCTGTTTCCGCAAGCCTGTCACCGCCTGACGAAACCAACAGACTTCTCGCGACTTGTTGACAACTTGCCGCAAGCCGGTAAAATCAACAGCTTGCGACAGGCCTGTGAGATTTCTGGCTGTGTAGTAACAGGGTATACCGCCTTGTCGACAGCTCTTTGATAGTTTATGTCAAATTCTACATAATTTAGAATCGATCCCACAAATGACTTGAAGTTTACGCAAGCCATAGTTGAAGTCGGTCTCCCTCCCATGCAGAATTGCATAAAGTATGCTGGATTGCTCAAAAATTCTATAAAAAAGACAAGATGCCACAATAAGCCAATTATCAGACTTATGAAGCATCATCCCAGCCAGAAGGATCATCATTAATCTTCTTTAATTAAAATACTAAGATGTTGTTGTTTTTAATTCTTGAAACTGACATCAATGGTACGAGCTCTATAGTATCCCATCTGGTTTCACCTGGATTGGGGATCTCGATGTTGTTGGCCGTAAAGAAAGCTTTTCTATGTGGGCTGCTAGTTGAAAATGTACTAAAATAACCAACATTAGCTAAAAAAAACCTTAACAGGGAATATAGATGATACGACTTGACTTAAAACCATATATTCAACCTATGGGCTGCACAATGAACAAAGTAAGCAAAAGGATACTGTTCACGCATTAGTTTCTGAACACCACCGATTTGACCAGACATGACTGAAGCACCATCATATGTTTGCATAATTAATTTGTTGTTTGTAATACCAGTATACAAATCTAAAATACCTCTAAAATACCTAATAAATCCTCTATATTTTTGGTATATTTTTCGATTCTTTCCCCAGTGAAATATATGATCAATGTTTACGTAGAATTGCATACTGTGCTCTTGCTTTATTAGGTGCTTGGGTGAAAGCATTGTATTCTGGTTTAGAATGCCGTTTAAAATTTTTAGCTAGCATCATTAATCCCCGAGCCGACGGCGCAAACCGCCGTGCGAGGGTACTAATTCCCCCCGGCTATTTACACCCGGGGAAACGAAAGCATTAGCCATGTCTAAAGTTCATCAATGAGCGCGGGCGTCCGTCACCAACGATGGTGAGTGGGTGGTCATCCTTATTGATCTCAAAAATATGGCTGATTGCGTGTAGGAATGGGATAAGCAAGATTTCAGTTTTAAAAGACATATATTTGGAAAATCGTTTCATACACAACAAGCTTTAAGCAATTTTGTTTGAATAAATGAGAAGTATTGATTTACTATGGGAAATCGAGAAATACGCGGCAAGTTTGCTTTGAATATTTAATGTTTACGAATTTTGTTGCTTTAAATTTTCCCTAAAAACATGAACTGTTTTCCTTTTCAACGAAGCTCTAAGTTTTATAAATTACCGTTTAATTTGAGGAAAAATCTTAAAATGTAAAGGAGAACAAATTGATTTGAAGACTGAACTGAAATTACCTAACAATTTGTTTTATTTGTATTAAACTTATTATGTTTTATTATAAAGTAAAAACAGTTTATCGTCAAATGTAGTTTAGTTGAATGAACATTTCAAAAACATTTTACGAAGCGTTTCAAGTTAAATTTTACATTAAATCAAAGCTCACAAAATGCAAAATAATATACCTACAGTATATATTTCGGAAATTTATTGTTGTATAGTTAAAAGTACGAATCTTTCAACTATTTTGCAGTTTTGTACAAAAAAATATGAAAAAATTAAAAATTTAAGAATATCGTGTTGTCATGGCAACACTTGAGCGCGAGCCTGCATTCAGTGGTCCATTTCTGAATACTTCATGTTAATTTAATGTTTGGAAAATATTGGCGAGGGGTTACTGCATGCATGTATTTCTAGTTAAATGGTATCGTTGGGCCAAAGAATCTAAAAATACGGTTTTATGGAGGGGAAGCGAAAGTAACGACTTGCATGTAGCTTGTGGGGTTTGCACAAACCAAGCTGAGCTACCGGTATGGCTATATAAGTGAAACACTGGAAGCTTTAAATATTGAGCCAGGAACATTTTGTGAACACTTTAATGAAAAGATGACTCAAAAAGTAAATCATGATAAAGCAAGACAGTCAACTGTAGTTTCTAAACGAAGAAGGCACGAATGCCGTCTCGAACAGTAGCACATGTTATGGACTACACAAAAAGAGTTATGGACCACACGAAAAGAGGCCGAAGAGGGAAACATACCAAACTTCAGTTGGTTTGGACCTCTATCCCAATGCAAGTATTAACAACAGTATATTGCCCCCCAATAAGTAACATGAAGATCAATCTGCAAAGAATGCCAGCAAATGTACTTAGGGAATTGAAAATTTAGTTCCGCCACATATGCTCGTCGTCCTCAAGCAGAAAAACCTCCGTTTCATGAAAATGAAATATTATTAATTTTTTTTGTCTTTTACATCGAAACAAATACCATGGGTAAATTGGCAAAAGTTTGCCAAATTGCAGTCGCAGACAAACCCGGTTCAAACACACTTTCCCAGTACATTTTACTTAACACACGATATAATTCAACCTCGTACCCAGGCTCTTTCCACTACGCGCCTCGCTGGAGGAAAGACCCTGGTCCAGGCTGGTCACGTGTCTCCCAGATTTTGGGAGATAACAAAATTTTTACATAAGGGTGGGGGGCTAAGTTTGTTTTACCGATCTAGTTGCTGATATCAATGCGATAAAGTTCAGAGTGTGTGTATTTTAACAAATGCATGTAATTTTAATGAATAGTAACAGCCTGTGCTGCAAAATCAATGGGTGAGATGTCTTTGTATATGTATTCTTTGTGGATTGCATTTGGGATGTCGCTATGCAAGATCTACATGCTGGAATCTTTCAGTTTCATATTGGAAAAATCACAAAGAATTACTAGGAAAGGATTTGTAATATACTCGAGGACAAGCAAAGAACATTTGCCTATAGCAGCCAACAGAGAGTCTATTGTAAATTGCCGTAAATTTTAATCATGAGTGGAACGGCTCGATTACAGTCATAACACGACATGTGCATATAGAAATAACAATAAGAAAATGTATTATTAT